CAATGCCCAACCAAGTTTGCACCAGAATTGGGGACTGGCCCCTGCATCATCCAGATTGGTCGCTGTGGCACTGGAGGAAGAACATTTTATTTGGCTTCAGTTACTAGACAGAAAACTTATAAACTAAAATATGCTGGAATTTCTTTGGCCCTGCCCACCATTGGGATGTGTCTTCTTCCATCCCTGGCCTTCCAAAATCCAACTCTGATACCAAATTCAACACTCCTGTTGAAAGAGAATTCCTTTCATAGGCTGATAGACCAAACAAGCCAAGTCTAACTAAAAGGATAATTACAGTGATCACAGAGGTCTTACAGCGCTTAGCTATTTATCCATCTCAAAGATAAATAAAGTGGCTTCCAAAGACAGAACATTTCCTGCTGTGGCACCCAATTATGCAATTATGTCCCCCACCCCAAGCATCTCTTGAAGGACTCTTGGGTTAGCTAACATATTAGAAATACTAAATACAATAATGGGAGCCTTTGGACTTAGAAGATTTTTAAAATGTTGTCCACATTCCACAGAGACTTAGATGCATCTGTGCTCATTGAAATCAATGACTTAAGCATGCCTAACACATGGTTGGGCATTGACCTGTTTGTTTCCAGATGTTGTCAAGTACACAGGAGAACCATCTGTGCATTATTTTAGAGATTGTGAACATATGTGTTACGATAGCCCTTTGTTTGTTATACCAACGTCTTCAGGCTGACCTATGCAGTCATCAGAGGGTACACCTACCCTGCAGAATTAAAGCTGTTTGATACCACTTTAACTGTCACAGCTCCATCCTACTGAATGAATCCTGGGATTCAATTTTGTGAGTCACCAACACTCTTTGGCAGAGAAGGCTAAAGGCCTTGTAAAACTACAAATCCCAGTATGCCATAGGATGGAGCTACAGTACTTCAAATGGTGTCAACCTGCATTATTCTATATGTAGTTGCAGCCAGAATTGGGCATATTGTTCCAGTCTTGTCTGAGTGATGTTAAGGATGCTGGGATACATAGTTTTGACTGCTGCCATGGTACACTCCTACTGAACCTCCTGAGGGAGAGGTCTGACAATACAATGCCTATGAAGGGAACTGCTCCCTAACAAGGAGAACAGGTAAACTTATAGCCCTGAGACCATTCCCTGCTGGTTTCTAACAGGAAACCTATATGTTGGTTGTGCCCTCACAACAGTTGCAAATTACCATCTTATGAGCAAAGTGAAAACCCACTGATTTTTATGTTTGTTCACAAAGAGGGAGTAACTGAAAAACTGTCTGTATTTGTCTTAAATAAATAAGGATATTTGAAGCTTATGGTAGAAAGAATACATAGGTTCTCTCCCCTTCAGCAATACTTGAATCAGAGCAAGCATTGATTAATAGCAACACATGATAAAAATGGGTTTTGCTTTCTCTCATTTCAGAGTTAATCTGGGGAAATCGGAAGAAGACGTGGTTTGCAAAAATCTGGGAAGAAAATGAATACTTTGAAGAGGAATTAATGTTTGGAATGGGGGAATCTGAGACAAATGAACCCATAAAGTTTTTAGTTTGTTTTTAACTTTAGTATATTTTATATGATTTTATATTGGATGTACATCTTTTAATTGTTTTGAATTTTATTGAACTTTTAAAAGTTTTATCTGTGAGCCGCCTTGGGTCCCTCTGGGGAGAAAGACAGCATATAAATGAAATAAATAAAATAAAATAAGGCAAGAAAATATGTTGAAACTGCTATAGCCATTTTCTTGGGAGGAAACTCAATTTAATTTAGTGGGATTTACTTTTGTGTAGACTTGATAGTAGACTTGTGACGTTAGTACATATGAGGCAGAAAAATGGTAATTTTGTCTTAGTTGTATGTTGTTGCTGTGTGCCTTAAAGTTATTTCTGACTTATGGTGATCCTAAGAGGGGGGTCACCCAGTGGGTTTCCATGGCTGAGTGGGGAATTGAACCCTGATCTCCAGAGTCATAGTCCAACGCTCAAACTACTATACCACATTGGCTCTTTGTTATATATCACTTTGATAATTATCATGATTTGTCCAGGCAACATCTATGTGACCCAATATTTTTTACCCTTTTGAGGAGCAGTCAACCAGATGCTTATTGTTGTGGTCCTTTTTAGTCCACCATCTGGAATTCAAAGATAAGCAGCTTCTAAACATGGAGATGCTCACTTAATTTTCATGCTTGATACGAAGGCCTTCCATAGACAGAGAAAAGTTAAAGCACATGGAAACAGCCACACTAAGGGTCACTTAGGTGTGGCATAAAGGAGTCTCTCATACTTGTGATGATACCTAATATTTGGAACAACCAGATACTTTGTCTGGAGCCATTTTGAATTGCGTTCCTCATATTCACCCTTTGAACTTTACTGAAGAAAAAAGTCACAATGTATGAAGTCACAGTTTCTCACCACTGAAAAATCAACTGCCTCAGTGGTCCTCCAGGTCCCCAGATATTTTTGGAATTCAGTTCTTCAGCCAAACTACCCAATGGCCAGCATGGTCAATGGCCAGGGATAGTGAGAGGCTCAATCCAACAACATTCAAGGACCCAAGTTTGAGAACCACTTTAGCTACCAGATTTATGACTTCTGTGTGTATGCGATCACTTGTAGTGCAGAAAAGGAAGTGATTTTGAGGCAAGTCTGAACCTCAGTTATTCACTTTTTAGAAATTAACAACTACTTTTTGTATTAAGGGGATGGAGTGAGGAAAGCAGAAAAAGAAAGTTAAAACAAAAAGAAATAAAAAGCTGGAAGAGTGGTACTGAGTGGATACTAATACGTATATAAGATCTGTGACTCGTGATCAGGCTTACCTTGAAATGGGGTGGAAAGGAAAAGACAATAGTGTGTTCTTGTTTTTTTATTAAGAAGTCATTGCTTTGCTAAAGGACTATAACTTTTTTCTACACAAAATCTAAACAGAAGAATGCCACAACCATTGCTTTTTCTTTGTTTTGTTTTTAAAAAGAGGTTGCAAACATAGATTTTTAACAAGTATAATGTGAAAGAAGATCAATCAAGAGTCTTATAAAATAGGTGAATGGATCTAGCACTACACTTAGTAGTGCCTTTTCTCAAATGATGGATGCTAGAGTAAGAATCAGTCGTGATTTCAAATTTGAAAAGGGAAATGATAGTCTTATATTGCAAAACTGATTCTGGAAGTGAGTGATCAGATCACAAAGAAGGCAGCTTCTGTATCTTTAAAATTGTTCAGAACAGAAAACAACTGTTGACATATGTAACTCCTTTTTACCTTCTCATTGTTAGACTATCTCTGCCACAATTCCGTTTTCTACACTATTATGAAAGGGAAAGGACTTATATCATCTGCATCTTATTTATGGCCCTTAGTAGGTAGGACAAATGTGTGAATGAACAGAGGCACACACAGAGAGGGAGGGAGGAAGGGAGACTAGGACTACCCCAAAATACAACAGAAGTGTACAAAACTAATAAACTAAGGATGTTTCAAGTGTGGCTCTTAATTCAGTGGCCTTATGAAATGCAGTAGAGATCAATCTGGGATCTCTGTTCATTCAGACTGCACATCATAAATGTATTTACTTAGAAATAAGTATCATTTAATGCAACAAGATTTAATTCCAAAGATGCATGTTTGGAATCACAGTCTTTGTTATAGCATGCACTCTTTCCAACAACTGACATTGATTTGCTTGTTAAAAATGACTAAAAAAAAAAAAGCACATACACATACAAACATTACCTGCTTTCTTCCATTGTATCAGCAAAGAGGTTTGTTATAAGTGTTGTAAACAAGCCAGCTGTCTTCCCACACAGAGTGTACAGAACAGGACATGAAATCGACACTCCAGCTATCTCCACAGTGGGTCACATCTTACGTATAAATGGATTTTCCATGCACCCCACTTTAGCAAGGAATAGATTCAACAAACACCTCCTTTCTCTCTTCCAGCCTGAAACTAGAGCTCTGTACAAATACAACAGCAATGCAGGCAGAGAGGCACGGTGATGTATTGGACCTCTGTTTGTTACCACACTCCCTGGATCTCAGGCAGATAGGGGGATAATAATTGAAGTTATCTGTCTCTTATCAGGAGCTCTGTGGTCTATTTTCCTCGGCAAACCCCATTATTGAAATGACTAATGGTAAAGCAGAAACTGATTATTATAGCAGCCATGTCATAAGCTGAAATGTTGAGTGAGGCTTTGGTTTTGGAAGAGATACTAAAAGCAGTAAAAGGGGAAAAGAAAACATACACAGAGGCTGCATCTGCACTGCAGAAGTAATCCAATTTGACACCACTTTAATGGCCATGGCTCAGTGCTATGGAATTCTGGGAACTGTCATTTGTTGTTCTGAGGTCTGGTGCCACAACAAATGACCATTCCCAGAATTCCATAGCATTGAGCCATGGTTGTTAAAGTGGTGTCAAACTGGATTATTTCTGTAGCGTGGATGCAGCCAGAGACCATGTAGCTTCCGACTCACTGTCTTCATTGGTTGCAGCAAAACAACAGAATCCAGTGACATCTTAATGTTGAACACATTGATTATAAGCATAAGCTTTCATGTCCATTTCATCAGATGCATAAGTGTTCTCCTGTGCTGCATATAGATATAGATATAGATATAGATATAGATATAGATATAGATATAGATATAGATATAGATATAGATATAGATATAGATATAGAAATTTACATACACAAATGATTGAAGTGGGAAGAAATAAACAGTGAGTTCAGAGGGGAATGAAATGCAAAAGATACAGACAGTAACAATTACAAATCATAGTTATTAATATTAACAAATTAACTTTAAGATTCCTGGTACTGGGGATAAACAACCTTCAACAGAGGATCCCTAACTACCTACTTCATTAGGTTATTCTTGAAAGTTTCTAAGGAACATTTTGCTTGCCAGCTATTGGAAACACAGTGATGGAACCGATGAACCCAGGGTCTGATACAAGTCTCTGATTTACTAGACATTATCGAGCCAGTGTGGTATAGTGGTTTGAGTGTTGGACTATGACTCTGGAGACCAGGGTTCGAATCTCTGCTGAGCTATGAAATCCACTGGGTGACCTTGAACAAGTCATACTCTCTCAGCATCAGAAGATGGCAATGGTAAAACCTCTCTAAAGAAATTTACCAAGAAAACGTCATGACAGGTTCACCTTACGGTCACCATAAGTCAAAAAATGACGTGAAGGCACACAACAACAACAACAACAATACTATTATATCCTAAAGATTTTATTTGCATAAAACAGCAAAACTGGGGTATCAGTAAAATAATACTGATAGATTGGGGTGGGCAAATTACAGACCTGAAGCTAACAGTGGTCTCCAATTTTGTTTTTGTGGACCTCAGCTCCTTCAGATTCCTCAGATTGCTCCCTATTAAAATGTTGTCTAACAATAAAAAGATGAATTGTTTTTCTTGGAAGCATCCAGGAGCAAAAAACTACATTTTAATAAGATTGTGGTGGCTTCTCAAACTTTTTTAAAAGGACTTTTCAAAACCAGAAATGGGTTTCTGGCCACTTCCAAATTTGTTTCCTTTTGTTATTGCATATTTTGCAAGTATGTCCTGGAGGTTCCTATAGCAGAATCCTGACTTTAGATACCAAGCAGTTGCCCACCTCTGCTATAGATTATATAGGTATAAACATGTTTGAATAAATCTCAGAACTTAACATAACACGTTTCCCTGGACTGTTGTCTGGACTAATTTATACTCCTTTGCTTCTGTGGAGGACTACCTACAGATAACTAGAACAAGAAAAAGGTGAAGACTTAAAGCTGCAGCTCAGGTTGCCTGCATAGAAGATCACGAGGAACCCGAGGAAACAGAATTTAATTTCCAGGTTAACTTTTTCTAGTCTAGAGGCAACTGGCTTCATACTGCACAGTAGAAGTAACACATCAGTTTACTGAGAAAATTCCTATGTTTTTTAAAAACTGTGTGGCATGCAGAAATCAGAATGTGAAGCATTTCTCCAGTATAGAAAACATAACCAAGCAGCTTTAGAGGAAATCCGTACATATGTTTTAGTGCCTTTAACCATTCTTCCACATGTGGGGCTAGGGAATCATGCAACTACTGTATGTGTGCCTAAATGCCTTCAAATCACCTGTTGACCTATGGGAACCTCATGAATTTCATAGGGTTTTCTTGGGCAAGGAATACTCAGAGGTGGCTTGCGATTGCCCTCTTCTGATATATTGCCTACAGCACCTGGCAATCCTTGACAGTCACCCATCCCAATACAAACCAAGGCCTGACCCTGCTTCACTTCCAAGATCAAATAGGATCTGATGCCTTCTGGATATTTAGGACGTTATCACACGGGGCCCAATCCAAACAAAATCCACACGAAA